GGCTCTAATAGTGCTGTCAGAGGAGTAGCTTAGTAAAAATTGAGCTAAAAGTAAATCCTCTCTTCCTTCTGCCTGGACTTCTTCCTAGTGATAGATCCCGTCTTCTTACAGCTTTTACTCCTCTCTTGGCCTCCTCAGGGGTCTAGATTGCTGTTCGTTTCTACTCTGAGCTAGAGCAGGGCTGGTATCCAGCAGAGGACATTCCTGTGGGTCTCATTGGTATTTCATGTGTGCTGAATTGTTGACTGCTGAGCACCCCTGGGGAAGGTGTGATCTCCCCCAACCTCCCCCTTGCCAGCCCCCGCTGCTGCTGGTGCCAGGGTCAAGACTCCCGGCTGGTGCTTGGCAGCTGCTATGAGAGAGAGATTCAGCTTCTGAATTAGTCCCTCTTGGGTGAGTTATTTCATTCCCAGCCAGAGTCTCAGCTGTGTTCTTAATACAGCTGACCCAGGAGCAGACTTGAAGTGAACCCTACAAAACGTTGCTTTTATGAAGTAACTCTGTGGCTGTAGTGTGGTTTCTGGGTCCTGCCCATGTGCCAGCTCAGTTGGGTCTCAGACCTGGAGATTTCATAGACACAGAGAGAGAAAGTGTCTTTTGAGTTTCTTCTTGGCCCCCCCTTAGAGCAGATTGGTGTAACACGGCCTGGCCAGCCGCTGACACTCTGGGGATAATTTTCTCTGGAAGCTGCCTGAGGCCTCTGAACTAGTCTGAGCAGCCAGGGTTATGTACTTAGATACATGTTTTGTTTTTGGTCGGTCATGGGGCTTGAACTCTGGGCTTGGGCACTGTCCCTGTGCTCTTCAGCTCAAGGCTAGCGCTCTACCATTTGAGCCACAGCACCACTTCCAATTTTCTAGTGGTTTATCAGACTTTCCTGCGTGGGCTGGCTTTGAATGGTGATTCTCGGATCTCAGCCTCCTGAGTAGCTAGGATAACCGGGGTGAGCCACTGCGCCCAGCTTAGTTAGATTCATGTTTATTCAAAACTGAAATAGCAGTTGGGTGCCGGTGGTTTACGCCTGTTATCCTAGGTACTCAGGAGGCTGAGATCTGAGGATCTGGGTTTAAAGCCAGCCCAGGCAGGAAAGGCTGTGAGACTTTTTTTTTTTTTTGTGCTCCTCTTAGGGCTTGAATTCAGGGCCCAGGCAGTGTCCCTGAGATCTTTTGCTCAAGGCTAGTGCCCTACCACTTTGAGCCACAGCTCCACTTCCAGTTTTCTGGTGGTTCCTTGGAGATAGAGTCTCATTGATTTTCCTGTCCAGCTGGCTTTGAGCCGGGATCATTAACTCAGCCTCCTGAGTAGCTAGGATTACATGCTTGAGCCACCAGCCCCCGCAGACACAACTTTTTTGCTCCAGGCAAGCACTTTATCCCTTGAGTCACAGCTCCACTCCTGAACTCTTTTTGCGCTAGGCTAGCATTGTACCACTTTAAGCCATAGTTACACTACTGGTTTTTGAGTGGTTAATTGAAGACAAGAGTCCCACAAAGGACTTTTCTGCCTGGGCTGGCGTTAAACTGTGATCCTCCTGAATAGCTAGGATTTTAACTGTGAGCCACTGGTGCCTGGTTATTTCTGGCCTTTTTTGGGGGGGTGGGGGTAGGGATAGTTAATTGGAGATGAGTCTAAAGGGTTTTACTGCTTGGAATGGCTTTGAACCATGATCCTCAGATCTCACTTCCTGAGTAGCTAGGCTTACAGGCCTGAGCCACTGGCACCGGACTTTTTTTTTGTTTTTAATGGTACCAGCCTTGAACTCAGGACTTCAAGCAATTGCTAGGCGTTCTTGCACAGCTGATACTCTACTACTTTAGCCATGCCTCCAACCCTGCATTTTTGCTCATTATTTGGAGATGGAGTCTCTTGGACTTCTCTATCTGGGCTAGCTTTGAACTATGATTCTCCAGGTCTCGCCCTCTTGAGTAGCTGGGATTATGGGTGTAAGGCTCTACTATGCCCAGTGTAGCTGTTACTATATACTATGACCATTTTCAGATCCTCATGATACAAGATCTAGCACATTTAAAAGGAAAAAAGAAAAAGAAAACTACATTTTATTGACTTAATCTCCCAGAAATTTCTCCTTTTCTTTGTAAAGGCTGATGCCTGTCCTTCTGGCCCTGGGCAGCCCGGAGGAGGGGGAGGCTGGGCTTGCCTGCCTTGTTTTCTGCTGCCAGGACCAATCACATACGGCCGTTGGAAATTCCTTTCAGGTGTCAACCCTGACCTTGTCATGAACTGAAACTGAAGCTTAGATGGTGTAGAATTACTTTTAAGTAAAGCAGATGCCAAATCTGAATCACTGCTTTGAATCATTTATTCAAATAGTCACTGATAGTCCCTGATTTACAGTTTTTTGACTTGTTGGCATGTAAGCTCATGAAGAGTGGAGGCGGTGTATATTTTGTAGCTATGAGGATGGAAGGCATGTACTAAGCATTGGAAGAACTCTGTACCTTGGTCTTTAAGGGCTGTGTTTCTTTAGCCACATAAGGCATGTACAACCTGTTGTGTTTTTGTTTGTTTTTGGTGCTGGTACTGGGATTTGAATTCAGGGCCTTGAGGTCTCATTTGGCTTTCCGGGCTGCTGTATACCACTTGCATCACACTTCCACTTAAGGCTTTTTGCTGGTTAATTAAAGTTTTACACACACACACACACACACACACATGCTTGTCGGTTGTTGGAGATAAGTTTTACACACACACTCACACACACACACTTGTCGGATGTGGGGCGGCACTGTCCCCAAGCTCTTTAGCTTAAGGTGAGCATTCTACCACTTGAGCCACAGCACCACTTCTGGCTTTCTGGTGCTTAATTGGAGATAAGAGTCTCACAGACTTTTCTGCCTGGGCTGGCTTTGAACCCTGATCCTCAGATCTCAGCCTCCTGAGTAGCTAGGATTACAGGCGTGAGCCACCAGCGCCCAGTAAGTCCCTCATATTTGACTGCAGGCTGGCTTCAAACCTTGATCTTTACATCTCAGTCTTCTGAGTAGCACCCAGCTGCGCAGGTGGTTTTTTGTTTTTGTTTCATTGGAAATGGCAGAGATTCTCTGTCTTATAATAATAAACAGTTACATCAGCTGTGGTGATATTGGGGTTTGAACTCAGGGAGTGGGCACTCAAAGCTGGAGCTCTTACCACTTGAGTCACCCCTGTGCTTCTGGCTTTTTGCTGGTTAGTTGGAAATAAGTCTCTTGAGTGTGTCTGCCGGCTGGCTGAGCTGAGATCCTTAGACCTCACCCTCCTGAGTGTGAGTGATATATATTTTTTTCTTTTTTTTGTTTCTTGCACTTCTCGAGATGTTACTTCTGGTCCCACGCATGCGCAGGCAAGCCACCCACCATTGAGCTACACCCTCAGCCTCTCCAGATCTCTCTTCATTGGGTGCTTCTCTCTTTTTCTGTGTGACTGTGCTGCATACTGTAGACACTATCTACTTTAATCCCCTGACAGTCCCAAGAGGAAGAGTCCAGGGACTTTGTGAAGCTTGAGAGCTTCACCATAGCCTGGGGGGGAGGGGCAGGTAAAATGGCAGCGTTTTAACTGGGCATCGGGACACATGCCCTTAGTCCTAGAGACTTGGGAGACTGAGACGGAGGCAATGGTCATTTGAGCCAGGAATTTTAGACCAGGCTGGCAACAGGGACCCTGTCTCAAAAAAAAATTAAAAAATAAAAAAGTTCTGAGGAGTTAAAAATAGCTTATATTTTGTGGGATAGGCGATTTAAAAAAAAAAAGCAGAGGAGGTGTTTTTGAAAGTGGGACATTTGCCTTGGGACCTGGATAGTAATGGAGAGTGCATGGGGGTGTCCGCCCTCCCCCTAGGGCTGTTTGAGTTTGGAATGGAGTCAGTGGGTGTGGCCTTTGACTGGCAGTCCAGGCATGAGGCTTGCACATGGCCTGAGTTTGCCACCTTTGGAAGGAAGGCTTTGAGTTGCTGGTAGGGCTCTCAGTGAGGCGGGCAGTTAGGGGCTGGAGATTTTCTACAGGAAATGTGAATTCTCACAAGTCTTCAAGGATGGAGAATGTTGAATGGGGAGGAGTATACCTTTGGACAACAGTAATAATAACATAAAAAAAAATGACAACCTGAGCTGGGCGCTCACGCCTGTAATCCGAGCTACTCAGGAGGCTGAGATCTGAGGATTGTGGTTCAAAGCCAGCCCGGGCAGGAAAGTCCAGGAAATTCTTATCTCCAATAAACCACCAGAGAAAACTGGAAGTGGTATTGTAGGTCAAGTGGTAGAGCACGTGCCTTGAGCTGAAGAGCTGAGGGACAGCTCCCAGGTCTAGAGTTCAAGCCCCACCACCACCACTACCACCAACAAAAATACAACCTGCCAGGCTGCTGTGGCTCATGCCTCCTGTAATCCTCCATCTGAGGATCCAGGTTTGAAACCAGCCTGGGCAAATGAATCTGAGAGACACTTATCTCTAACCACTCAAAAACCCAAGGGTGAAGGTGTGGCTCAAGTGGTAGAGTGGGTAGCTTTGTGGGAAAAAGTTAAGGGTCAGTGTGTGTGTCCTGACATCAAGTAAAAGAACAAAACAAAACCAAAATCCCTGTGTTACCCTCAAATTTCTAACCTGAAAGAGCCTTTCTCTTGGGACCAGCAGAGACTTCACTGGAGACGCTGGATAGCCTGGAAGGTGATCAGTGGGGGAAGTTGTAGGAAAGGGCAGGACTGAGGCAGCCTTTTTGTAGTAGGTGCTTTCTTCTTGTGATGCAGCTAGGCGACTTAAAGCAACTTCCCAGCCACTGGCTCTCACTGACCACATGGTAGTTCTGGCCTCCACATGGAAATGGGGCCACTTTTGGGTCACGGCCTGTGGGCTTATTTGCTCATGCGCACACTTGGCCTGCTTCCACCCTTGTTGGTCTCTGCCCACTCCAGTCCCCTCCAAGGGTAATGCCACAGCTCTTGATCCCCACAGTTATGGTGATAACTTTGTTTACATTGATTATTTTATTTGCTTGATAGATAAAGCCACAGACCCAAGTGCCTTGGAACAGGATTGGTCAGCTATCCAGAATTTCTGTGAGCAAGTGAACATCGACCCCAATGGGTAAGGTCACTCACAGGCGTGACCGACTGTCACCCACGCTGAGCACAGGCCTGGGTCTCTTGGGACCAACTGTTACACATTTGAGATTTTCTTCATTCTTTCTTCCCTTCACAGTGTTTTTCTTTTTAACATTTTTAATTAGTATTATCTTTAAGTACTTGTACAAAGAAGTTCCCATTCTACAGAACAGTATATGAATGAATACGAGGTGTCTGACAACATTCCTTCTCTCACTTTTCTTTTTTTAAAATTGAGATTAAGTGATTACATAAGTTTCACATATTTCACAGTATTGTGAAATAGTCATACTTAGTTAAAGTCACAAGCACATTTTAACCTTCACAAGGCAAATTGTCATTATCATGGTCATCACGGTATGTTTTTAAAGTCAGCAAATTCATGTTGCTTTTTTTTTTTTTTTTTGGCCTGTCTTGGAGTTGAACTCAGGGCCTGGGTGCTGTCTCTGAGTTTTTTGCCCTAAAGCTTGTGCTCTATCACTGGAACAACTTAAGCTTTTGTTGTTGTTGGTCTTGGGGCTTGAACTCTGGGCCTGGGCGCTGTCTCTCAGCTCTTCAGCTCAAGGGCTAGCGCTCTACCACTTGAGACACAACACCACTTCTGGTTTTCTGAGTGGTGTATTGGAGATAAAAGTGTCACGGACTTTCCTGTCTGGGCTGGCTTTGAACCTCCATCCTCAGATCTCAGCCTCCTGAGTAGCTAGGATGACAAGCGTGAGCCACCAGCGCCTGGCCACTTAGGCTTTTTTGGTGGTTAATTGGGATTCTCTTGTCTCAGCTGGCTTTGATCTGTGCTTGTGCTCTTCATAACTCAGCCTCTTCAGTAGCTAAGATTCTATGTATGAGCCACTGGTGTCTGGCTTCCCTTTGCTTTTTTAAAAAGTACTTTTTTTTTTTTTGCAACTATTAATATTTATTTATTGAACCCAAGGCCTCATGCATGCGAATTATTCACTCCACCACTCAGACTCAGCTTTAGCCCAGCCCAGCCCAGCCCAGCCCAGGGTGAGGTTTTTCTTGAGTTTGTTTCCAAAACCCCTTGGTAGCTTTTGAGGAGTTGTCACTCACCCAAGGTGCCTGTCTGTCCTGGAATGTGGCCTCCCTCTGTTGACACTTGCTGTTCTACTGTTTACAGAGCAGTTAATGGTGGAACAGAGGGTACTGTGGTGGTTGTGGGCCTGACGGTGACCTGGAGTTCTCGGGTGACTGAGGGGAGGCCTGGCAGAAAGGGGACTTAATCTGGAAGGGTCACAGCACAAGTGGGTGAGAGTGGGTCCCTGACCCAGGGGATGGGGCGAGGTCCTACAGCATGGTCCCTCTGCTTTGGGATAACAGCTCCTGCACATGCAGCCAAACTAGTTAGTGTTCCCTACCACATGCCTTTTCTTCCCCATAGGCCAACCCATGCACCCTGGCTGCTGGCCCACAAGATCCAGTCTCCACAAGAGAAGGAAGCTCTGTATGCCTTGACGGTGAGTGGGCGTGCTCCTCAGCCTCAGCCTTTTCTGTCCCAGTGTTAGAAAGAGGATCTTTGCGTCTGCCCCAGGCCTCTATGTGCTACCCCTGTGTGGCATCTGAGCACTTCTGCTTCACAGGCCTCCAGCAGCAGCAGGCAGGAATGAGCTCTGGATCACAATGTCCTTCCCAGATCTGTTTCTAGCAAGGAGCACTGAGAATTTTTTTTTTGGTTGATCATGGGGCTTGAACCATCTGGGTCTGGGTGCTGTCCCTCAGCTCTTCAGCTCAAGGCGAGCGCTCTACCACTTGAGCCATGGTGCCACTTCCGGTTTTCTGGTGGTTCATTGGAGATAAGAGTTCACAGACTTTCCTGCCCGGGCTGGCTTTGAACCTTGATCCTCAGATCTCAGCCTCCTGAGTAGCTAGGATTATAGGTGTGAGCCTCCCTGCTTGTCCTTCCTCTGTGAGGGCTGGCAAGTAGCAAGTAACAGAAATGAGCAAAGCGGCTGGGTGAGGCCTTGTCCTGCCTGCAGAGGGCAGCAGCTGCAGTACCAAGCCTGGCTCTGGGCCCAGTGTTGTACACAGGACCTATTATTTTGCTTTGTGAAATAAAGCGCTGGCCAATTCTAGAATTAGAAACAAAGCCAATTAATACCTTTGTGGTGGTTGTTTTTTTTGTGGAGGCTTTTTGTTTGTTTTTGGTCTGTCTTGGGGCTTCAACTCAGGGTCTGGCACTGTCCCTGAGCCTTTTTGCTCAAGGCTAGCACTTTGCCAGTTTGAGCCACAATGCCAATTCTGTTTTTCTGGTGGTTAATTGGAGATAAGAGTTGTACAAGCCGGGCGCTGGTGGCTCATGCCTGTAATCCTAGCTACTCAGGAGGCTGAGATCTGAGGATCTTGGTTCAAAGCCAGCCTGGGCAGGAAGACCGTGAGACTCCTAACTCCAATAAACCACCAGAAAACCAGAAGTGGCACTGTAGCTCAAGTGGTAGAGCGCTAGCCTTGAGCTGAAAAGCTGAGAGACAGCGCCCAGGCCCAGAGTTCAAGCCCCACGACCGACCAAAAAAAAAAAAGAGTTGTACAGACTTTCCTGCCTGGCTGGCTTTGAACCTGGATCATCAGATCCCAGCCTCCTGAGTTGCTAGGATTATAGGCATGAGCCACCAGTGCCTGGCCCAATTAAGGGCTGGGAAGGTAGCTTAGTGGTAGAGTGCTTGCCTTGCATGCAAGAGGCCCTGGGTTTGATTCCTCAGCACCACATAAGCAGAAAAAGCTGGAAGTGGTGCTATGGTTCAATTGGTAGAGCTTGAGCTGAAGATCTGAGGGACAGTGCCTAGGCCCAGAGTTCAGGCCCTATGACTTAACAAAAAACAACAGCAACAACGACAAAAACCCCCAAAAGTTAAGAGGGCTGGGAAGGTGGCTCAGTGGTAGAGTGTTTGCCTTGCATGCATGAGGTCCTGGGTTTGATTCCTCAGCACCAAATAAGCAGAAAAAGCTGGAAGGGGCACTGTGGCTCAAGTGGTAGAGCTTGAGCTGAAGAGCCCAGGGACAGCGCCCAGGCCCAGAGTTCAGGCCCAAGACCTACCAAAAAAAAAAAAAAGCTAAGAAACAATGACCTGAGGCCAAGCCTTGGTGATGCACAAAGGGAAGAAAACAAAAAACAAAACCCAAGCTGAACATTTTGAAGAACCAGAGAGGTCAGTTATAGGATCAGCTTGCTTTTGAGTACTTGGAGGAACCTCTTGGGGGGAATGCCTGGGTGTCCACCTCAGGGAAGAGCATGATTCTCAGACCCTGGTCACCTGCTCAAAAGTCCTCTTCACAGTGAGATAGCTTCAGAGTACACTTTCCCCATCCCCACAAGCTACTTCCTGGACTCATATAGGTGCCATTTTCCTCTTGATCTGAAAGTGTTTCCTTTCTTCAAAGCACTAGCAGCATGGTGGGCTTGCAGGGTGTGGGAGGGCTGTGGTGGGCTCTCAGAGGAGTGAGCTGTACCGGATGTCACCCAGTGCTCAGCTCAAGGTGAGTCCTGGAGCTGCTGGCTTTCTCTGACTGGGGACCCATGTGCGCAGGTGCTGGAGACGTGCATGAACCACTGCGGGGAGAAGTTCCACAGTGAGGTGGCCAAGTTCCGCTTCCTGAATGAGCTGATCAAAGTGTTGTCCCCAAAGGTGAGTACCTAGGGCTTGGTCTTGCCCCCATTTCACTTGCCCCCCTCCACCTTCAAGGTCCTGTCGCCTCACAGAGCAGGGCAGGCTCACGCACGCGCAGTGCCTCCCGGTTGCTGCTGGAAGAGGTCCAGCACAGGTGTGCTGTTTCCTCTGCCAGGTGTGGGGTGACAGTCCAGCTTGTCAGCTGACCCCCACCCCTCATTAGTTAGCATTTCCACATTTCCTCCTTGAAAATGGCCACCTCTTTTGGGGTCATGTGGCCTACAGGAGGTGAGCTGCTCCAGCCTGGAGGCCCAAAGTTCCTCTGAGCTTGGGTATGATTGAGTGTCCAATTGCCTCCGGCCTCATCCTCTACACAGCTCCTCCTTCACGTGTCAGCGTCGCCACGCCCATTCCCACTTACCCATCAGCTCAGCCCTTTTTCTCTGGAGCCAGCAATTCTCTGGTCCATTTCAATTGACTTCTGGCCCCGTGTGGGGTTGCATGTTGTTCATACACCCTGCACATGAAGAGCTCACTCCCACCTCCCCGTGCTTCAGGTGTCAGCCCTGAGCTTTGGCATCAAGTCAGCAGGCACTTGTGTGCACTGCTCACTACTACCTCCCCCCCTAGGGGGTGCAGTTCACTAGAGCCACACACAGCTCACAGGAAGGCATTCTGCTTTTTTTCTTTTCTTTTCCTTCTTTCCTTCCTTCCTTCCTTCCTTCCTTCTTTCTCTTTCTCTCTTTCCCTTCCTTCCTTCCTTCCTTCCTTCCTTCCTTCCTTCCTTTCTTTCTTTCTTTCTTTTTCTTTCTTTCTTTCTTTTTTTCTTTCTTTCTTTCTTTCTTTTTCTCTTTTGCTAGTCCTGGAGCAGCTTTGAACTCAGGCCATGGACACTATCCTTGAGCTCTTTTACTCAAGTCCAATAGTATACCACTTGAATCACAGCAGCACTTCTGATTTTTGTTTCTGGTGCTTAATTGGAAATAAGAGTCTCATAGATTTTCCTGCCCAGGCTGGCTTCCAGCCAAGATCCTCAGATTTCAGCCTCCTGAGTAGCTAGGATTACAGGTGTGAGCCACCATCACCCAATGGCACTCTGTTTTTATTAGTGCTTCATCATAAAGTGTATGAATAGAAGTGATCCTCAAGCTGGGCTTGGTGTGGGCAGAGGACACCCTGCATCCACTTGGAGCCTGTGTCCTCCTGGGGTGGCAGTAGCTCACTATCAGTAAGCTCTCCAGACCTGTCATACTGAGGAAGTCCCTGGCTGCCCGCTGGAATGCTGTCCCCAGTGCACGCGCATGTGCGCTCAACCCCCCCGCCCTTCCCCTGTGAGTGCATTCATGCATGTGCATGCGCGCACACACACACGCACACACACACACAACACACAAAGGCCAAGGAATGAGGCAGAAAATTCTATCTCTCTAATTATGTGGCTAGTCTTTGGTGGGTAACCAGACTCCCTGGAGACAATTGAAGCACTCCATCAATAGTCATTACTGTAAACTCTGCTGTAGCCCACGGGAAACTTCTTTGAAATAACAAAACACCATTATCACTGAGGAAATTCCACAGGTTATTCTTAGAGTCTGTGCCAGGAAGAGGGACAAAGATCTGAGCTTGTAAAGAATTCTCTATGTAGTCAAAGAATGACTATGGCAGTGTTGTAGACGGGCTCTCATGCTCTGGGCCTAAGCAGTACCTCTGGAGTGATGGCCAGGTAGTCTCAGACCCTTCCGCTTGCTCCTTCCTCCTCAGTACCTGGGCGCCTGGGCCACCGAGAAAGTGAAAGCTCGCGTCATCGAGATCCTCTTCAGTTGGACTGTCTGGTTCCCTGAGGACATCAAGATCCGAGATGCCTATCAGATGCTGAAGAAGCAAGGTTGGGTTGTGTCCCCAAGGCCATCTGCCTACTCTTTGTAGGCTTTATATGTGGAAAAGGACCATTTTTGTGTAGGACAGTGGAACTGATGTCACAGGCCTGTAGCCCTGGACATAGGCCACGCTTCCTTCTGATGGACAGAGGGTAGGCTGTTATAGATGCTGTTGCCCTGAACTTCCACAGTGCCAGCAGCCTTCAGATTTCTCTAGTGATCACTAGTGTTTGGGTTAGGGACTGACTTACTGGAGTTTTTCTGAGTCCCTGCTCTCCTTCTTGCTGCCCTGTGCTCAGGAGAGGCGCCTTTTCTCTCTGCTCTTGCCCTCCAATATTAGCCTCAGGAAGCCGAGGGCAGTCTGTTTTGATTCCATCTCCATCCCTGACTGGCCATGGGTCCCAGGGGCTTATGTGGGCTGTTATCAGTCCGGCCTCAGTCAGGACATGCTTCCTGCCTGGGGAATGATGTTTCTTTCTTGCTAGAAGTATTTTATTCTGGGCAGGTGCTGGGGATGGAGCTCAGGCCTTGAGCAGACTGGCAAAGATCTACTAAGCAGGCCATGGATTTATTTCCTAGTGTATCAGGAGCCAGGACTACTTGGACTTTGTTCTGGATCACACTGAAGTCAGGAGGCACTGTGTCCATGTCTGAACCTTGTGCATTGCATATTTTAGGAATCATAAAGCAAGACCCTAAACTGCCTATGGATAATATCTTGCCTCCACCTTCCCCCTGGCCCAAGAGCTCCATCTTTGATGCTGATGAAGAGAAGTCCAAGGTAAGGCACTCCTCCCTTGGCCTTGGTGCCTTTCTTGGGAAATCTCCTCAGATGCTCTCTGGTCTGTGAGCATGAGTGTAGACTGTGGGAAGATGGAGGGGTGAGCCCCATGCCCCGGAGCAGACTCTTAGATATGAGGTAGCAGAAGGTCCGGTGTGTCCATGGATGGACCAGATGAAAATGCTTCTCTCTGTCCCTCCCCGTGTTTGAACAAGTATTCCTGGGGAAAGAAGGCTCCAGAGGACAGCATGAGGGGAGGGTGAAGTGTGGGCCTGGGACTTGGGGCAGCACTGGAAAGGAAAGGGCAGTGTGTGGCTGCAGATCATTTTAGTGCCATTGTCCTGACCCACCCCTGTCCTCTCCTCCAAGGCCTCCCAAGATGGCTGGTCCTCAGCCATTGGCAGGAGAAGGTGCTTACATCCTAGGCCAGGACCCAGGCACAGTCCTTTGCCCCTCACAGTCATTACGTTTTGGTGACTGCAGATTGGGGGCTCTGTTAGGACAGAGGTAGGCGCTCCTTCCAGCTGCACCCACTCAGCGTGCCCTCTGGCTGCTGTGTGCACAGCAAGCAAGGCTGGTCTGGGGTCTGGGTTGTCTTCCATACCAGCTCCTCTTCTGCTGGGATGTGACATTTGTAGACAGTGTGGCGTGATCTCAAAGAATGGTAGAAGCTGTGTTCCTGTAGCTCTTCCTCCAGTCCTCCCAGCTCATGTTGAGGGGCCTTTGTGCCAGCTGCCTGGCCAGGCCTTGGGACATAGTGACAAAGAGGACCATCAGAGTCTATTCCATCATAGATCACGGGCTTTGTGTATGTCAGGCCTGCGTTCTCCTCCTGAGCTCCTGCTCAGCTCCACACTTGGCCTTTAGAGTGCTCTGTGCCAGCTGCTCTGGCCTCTACCACTAGCAGCCAGTAGAACCTCCCTATCAGCTGTTGCAATCTGGAAGGGTGCCCAGATGTCCCTAGGGCATTTTGTCCTCCCATGTCCCACCCCATGATAGCTAGTGGTATTTCGGGATTGGCCCTGGGCCCTGCCCGTCCTCGTGTCACTGTGTCAGCTTTGTATGGTAGCACACACAGATTGTTGCAGGGCAGTGTTGGTGCCAATTCCACTGGACCTCCATGCTTTACTCCCTTTTGTTCTATTCAGCTGCTGACAAGACTTCTCAAGAGCAGCCACCCTGAGGACCTCCAGGCTGCGAACCGGCTTATTAAGCATCTGGTCAAGGAGGTGGGCACTCAGTTCCCTAGGCAGGGGGCGGGGTGGGGGTGGCATATCAGAGGGTGGGAGGATGGCCTAGCTCCGATCTGAGTGAGAGGGAGCCTTGTGTCCCTGAAGGGCGGCAAGTTGGTGACTTGAGGAAGCAATCATTCTGCTGTGACTTCAGCTCCTTTATCTACATGCTCAATGCATTCTGTGATCCCTCTTCTGTCCCATTGATGGTGGTGGTGGCCAAGTTTGAGATTTTTGTTGTTGTTGTCAGTTGGGGCTTGAACTTAGGGTCTGGGTGCTGTCCCTGAGCATTTTTTTTTTTTTTTTTGCCGGTTGTGGGGGCCTGAACTCTGGGCCTGGGTGCTGTCCCTTGGCTCTTCAGCTCAAGGCTAGCGCTCTACCACTTGAGCCATAGTGCCACTTCCGGCTTTTTCTGCTTATATGGTGCTGAGGAATCGAACCCAGGGCCTCAGGCATGCAAGGCAAGCGCTCTACCACTGAGCCACCTTCCCAGTCCAAATTTTTTTTTTTTTTTTGTCGGTCGTGGGGCTTGAACTCTGGACCTGGGCGCTGTCCCTCAGCTCTTCAGCTCAAGGCGAGCGCTCTACCACTTGAGCTACAGCGCCACTTCCGTCCCTGAGCATTTTTAAGCTCACTGTTTTTGCTAACACTCTACCACTTGTAGCCACAATTCCACTTCCAATTTTGGGGTGATTAATGGGAGATAAAAAAAAAATCACAGACTTTGCTGCCCCAGCTGGCTTTGGGTCATGATCCTCAGATCTCAAACTTTTCAATAGCTAGGATTAAAGGCGTGAGCCACCAGTACATGGTGCGGTCGGTTCTTATAGATGGTCTGAGATAGAAAGGCGTGAGTCTCAGGACTCCCATGCTGTAGTCACCACTCCTCCCCCTCCCCCACCCCGTCCTGCCCAGGGACTTCTGGAGCTCCCTTCCTATTTCATATTCAGGCATCATCTTGGCGTTGGCTCTCACTTGCATCCTCTTCTTTCTTCCTAAAGGAGCAAGAAAAATCAGAGAAAGTGTCCAAGAGGGTGAGTGCGGTGGAGGAGGTCCGAAGCCATGTGAAAGTGCTGCGGGAGATGCTGAGCACGTACCGCAGGCCGGGCCAGGCCCCACCAGACCAGGAAGCCCTGCAGGTACCCTGGCAGGACCCCAGCCCTGGGGCTTTGCCTCTCCTAAATATGACATTCATGTGCTTGGCCCTGTGCTCATCATCACACGAAGATGGGAAATGTGGCTATCACCTCCCAATTTCCTCAATCCCTTCCTCCCCCGGCTCCTCATCCCTTAGCAGATACTGATTTATTTTCAATTCTGGCTAGACTCATGTAGGTAGAGTATATCCTTGCTACTTTTTCCTGACTGATGTGCGTGCGGTGTGTGTGTGTGTGTGTGTGTGTGTGTACGCGTGCGTGCATCTGCTTGTGGTTACTGGTGGTTTCCATCTTTTGGGTGAGTGTGGATTAAGTGGCCCTAAGGAGTGATGCGCAGAATGCCATGAGAACCAACTCTGTGGTTCTCCTGGGTAGCACCTACCTGTGTGATTTGCCATATTCGGAGCCAAGATTTAACTTTTTTTGGGGGGTCCAGTTGTGGGGCCTGAACTCGGCCTGGGTGCTGTCCCTCAGCTCTTCAGCTCAAGGCTAGCGCTTTACCACTTAAGCCACAGCACCACTTCTGGCTTTTTTTCTTTTTGCTTATGTGATGCTGAGGAATCGAATCCAGGGCCTCATGCATGCAAGGCAAGCGCTCTACCACTGAGCCACCTTCCCAGCCCCGATACTGGGGTTTGAACTCAGGATTTAACACTTTTGCTCAGCTTTCTTGCTCAGGGCTGCCACTTCACCCCTTGAGCCATATCACCAGTCTGACATTTTGCTAGTTCATTGTAGATGGAATCTCATGAGCTTTCCTGGCTGGCTTTGAACTGGAATCTAAGTCTCTTGAGTAACTAAGAGCACAGGCATGAGCCACCATTAACCGGCCCTGTCTTTTATTATGGCTACCCTAGTGTGAAGTGACGGCTTTCTGTACCTCCCTGATGGCTATGCTGAGCATCTTTTATTTTTTTAATTAATTAATTTGTTTTTTATATAGTTTGGGTGTCAGTACTAGGGCTTGAACTCAAGGTATTGCACTCTGCCTTACAGCTGGTACTTTACCACTTGAGCCACTGAGTGTTCTATTTTTATGGTTCATTGGAAATGAATGTCTTGTATACTATTCCCCGTGGTCTAACTTCAAAGCCTTGGTGTTGGCCTCTTGAGTAGCTAGGATCACACACATAGGTCACTAACTCATGCCTGAGTAACTATGATGGATGGGCTTTTCTTTTTTTTTTTTTGCCAGTTGTAGGGCTTGAACTCAGGGTCTGGGCATTGTCCCTGAGCTTTTGCTCAAGGTTAGCACTCTTCCCTTCAGCCACAGCACTACTTCTGGCCTTGCTGTTTATGTGGTACTGAGGAATTGAACCTAGGGCTTCATGCATTCTAGGCGAGCACTGTACCACTAAGCACATTCCCAGCCCTTGGATGGGCTTTTTAGCCATTTGTATATCTTTTCTGCACAGATCTTTTTGTCTTTTTTTTTTTTTTTTGGTTGGTCATGGGGCCTCTGGGCCGGGGTGCTGTCCCTTAGCTCTTCAGATCAAGGCTAGTGCTCTACCACTTGAGCCACAATATCATTTCTAGCTTCTTCTGCTTATGTGGTGCTGAGGAATTGAACCTAGGGCTTCATGCATGCAAGGTAAGCACTCTACCATTGAGCCACCTTCCCAGCCCTTGTCTTCATTTTTGTATTACATGCATTTTTGTTTGTTTTGTTTTTGCAGTAATGAGGTTTGAATCTAGGGTCTCCTGTTTGCTAGGCACACTTGAACTACACCTCCAACCTTTTCTGGCTTATTTTTCAGATAGTCTTGAGTTTTTGCGTGGGGCCAGCCTCAGATGGCAGTCCTCCTACCTATACTGCCCAGTACCTGGGACCACCAGCATGCACCTACCACATCCAGCTTATTGGTTAAGATGAGGTCTTGCCATTCTTAGCCTCAAACTGCAATCCTTCTGATCTCTGCCCTCCGAATAGCTGTAATTGAAGATGTGAGTCATCATGCTGGCATGAATTTTATTTTATTAATTTATTTTTTTGATGCTGGTCTTGGGGTTTGAATTCAGGGCCTGGGTGCTGTCCCTGAACTTTTGTGCTCAAGTCTAGTGCTCTACCACTTGAGCCACAGCTCCAGTTTTGGCTTTTCAGTGGTTAATTGGAGATAAGAGTCTCATGACTTTCCTGCCAAGGGTGACTTTGAACTATGATCCTCAGATCTCAGCTTTCTGAGTATCCAGGATCACAGCCATGAGCCACTAGTGCCAAGCAATTGCATGTTTTAAAGTACATGCGCACGCGCGTATACACACACCCACAAATTTTAGTGAAGTTTAGCTTATTTTTTTTCTCCTTTTCTTGCTGATGCCCTGTTCTATGGAAGAAGCCAGCAGCTGGTTTCATAGTGAGGTAGTGGCTGAGGTGACCATTCTCCTGGTCTTTAGGGCTTTACAGCATCCCCTGCAGGCTGACTTCTAGGAAAGATGGCCTTCCAGGCCCTTTGTTTGGCTGTCCATTTTACAATATTGGTAGAAGCGAACTACAGTCTCCCAATTATGAACTCCTGAGGGGAATTCATGGTGCCAGCTTGCTTTGTGCATCTGCCCCAGATCCTAGCCATGACTGGATTGGGTACAGTGGGAGAACCTCACACTAGCCCTGGTCTGGGTGGCAGGGAAAGGGTCAGATTTCTGAGCTCTGTCCAGCAGACATCGCAGGACCCATCTCCTCCCACAGTGAGGTCACATCAGGAAGGTCAGTGCAGGACAGTTCCCCTCCCAGCAAAGGGCCCAGAGAGAGGCAGCAGGCAGGGAAGGCCTGCAGGTCACCTTAGTTCTTGAGCTCCTTGAAGGAGGGGAGCAGAGTGAAGCTGTGTGGAGCTTTTACTCCTCCTAAGAGGCCATGAAACAGTGTGTGTTGTTAAGGGATTGAGATAGTCACAAAACACTTGAAATGGGAAGTTCTCAAGCAGTGGTAAAGCAGGGAGGATTCATCCACTGTTAAAGCTCTTCCAGCCTTAGGAAGCCATACGGTATTTCCTAACTTAAACTTTTTTTTTTTTTTGCTAGTACTGGGGTTTTTACTTGGGCCTTTGAGTTCTTGCTTGGCTTTTTCCACTCACAGCTGGTACCCTACCCCTTGAGCCACACCTCCAGTCTGACAGTTTGCTGATAAATTAGAGATGGAATCTCTCAGACCTTAATGCACTGCCTAGGCTGGGCAATACAGTCCTTTGACCACAATCCTTTGATCTTAGTGTCCTGAGCAGCTAGGATTACAGGTGTGAACCATCAGTGCTCTGCTTATCTACTTCTTAAAAAATCAGCAGGGCCATGTGCTGGTGGCTGAGATTCAGGAGGCTGAGAGCTGAGGATCAAGTTTCAAAGCCAGCATGGGCAAGAAAGTCCGTGAGATTCTTTTTTTTTTTTTTTTTAATTGTGAAAATACTGTACAGAGGGGTTCCAATTACATGGGCAAGATAATGAGTACATTTCTTATCAAGCATTGTAGCTTCCTCCTTTGTTTCCCCTTCCCATCCCATCCTCCCTGCTAACCCCCCCCCTCCCCCAGTCCATGAGATTCTTATCTCCAAATTAACCTCCAGAAACCAGAAGTGGCCTTGTGGCTCAAAGTGGTAGAGTGCTTGCCTGGAGCTAACTAAAGAGCTGAGGGACAGCACCTAGGTCCAGAGTTCAAACCCCACAACCGACAAAAAATAAAAATAAAAAAGCAGGAAGCTGAGATCTGATTGTCTCAATTCAAAGCCAGCCCAGGCAGAAAATCCTTGAGACATTTATCTCCAATTAAGCACCAGCTTAAGCACCAAAAAGCTGGAAGTGGAGGTATGGTTCAAGTGGTAAGAGTGCCAGGCTTGAGTGCCAAAGCTAAAAGAAAGTGTGAAGCCTTGAGTTCAAGTCCTGGTACACACACACACACACATACACACACACACACACACAACGTGCGCACATGCACACATCATACACAACAAGCCTAGACTTTGTGAAACATCTTACTTTATACCTGTTGTCATGAATCTGGATCAGCCTGAAGAATCTACCCTGCATCAGGACTGCTGCTTGTTTGAGTGGTGGGGTTTAGGATCTTATGTGGGGGCCTAGGACTGTGCAAATCAGGCTGTGTTTTTCCAGGTCGTGTATGAAAGATGTGAGAAGCTGCGGCCCACCCTATTCCGGCTGGCCAGTGACACCACAGATGACGACGATGCGCTCGGTAAGGGCTGTTTCCCCAAGCGCTAAACAGCTGCAGGGCCAGCAGCAAGATGAAGAGCCTCTGGGTCCTGTTGCAGCAGTTGGGCTGGGAAAGTGTGACTTCCAGAGGAATCTAGGCTTAAACAAAGAACAGATCTGAAAGGTTAGAAAAGGGAGAGAGCTTACTTGGAATTAGGTGTTTGAGCAGCCTCACAGAGCATTGAGAAGCAGTACAAAACAAACTGATCCCTAGGAAAGTTCTCTGGATCTCCTTCAGTTTTGCTGTTTGCAAACCTGTTGAATGTGTGTATTCTTATTTTTTGAAATTTTTTTATCGTTATTGTAATTATATACATATAATTACATAAATCATGTAAAGAATACATTTCTTTTTGGACAATATTCCTTCCCTTGCTTTCTTCAAGTTTTTCTCTCCAGTCCCCACCCACAAGTTATATAGTTCATTTTCAACATAGTGTCTAGTGTGTACTACTGCTACATTTGTTCACCCTCTGTCCCTCCATTTCTGTTTTACTTCTTACATTTCTCATTTGGGACTTGATTAGGTTTTGCCTCAGCTAAGCAAACAAGAAAGCCCGGTGCTGGTGGCTTGTGCCAGTGGCTCTTGCTGTAATCCTAGCTACTTAGGAGGATTATGGGTCAAAGCCAGCCTGGGCAGGAAAGTCCATGAGACTCTTATCTCCAATAAACCACCAGAAAACCAGAAGTGGAGCTGTGGCTCAAAGTGGTAGAGCACTATTAACCTTGAGCAAAAAAGCATCCAAGCCCTGAGTTCAAGCCCTATGACGGACAAAAAAAAAAGGCAGGTATATTGTCCCAGGTCTGTTATCCTAGCACTCAAGAGGTGGAGGCAAGAAGATTGAGAGTTAAGGCCAGCTTAGGTTAGTTACATAGTGAAACCTAGCAAAAAAAAAAAAAGCCCCAGATGCCTGTGGTTCACACCTGTATTCCTTGGGATAGTCATGGTTTAAAGCCAGCCCTGGAGAAAAGTTAGGAAGACTCCCATCTCTAATTAACTAGTAAAATGCCAGACTAGAAGCATGGCTCAGGTGGTTGAGCACCAGCTGTGAGCAAGAAAACCAGGCTAGGACCTGAGCCTTGAGTTCAAGCTCTAGAATAGGCACAGAAAAAGAAAACAAATGAAATCCAGGCGCTGGTTGCTCACGCCTGTAATCCTAGCTACTCAGGAGGCTGAGATCTGAGGATTGAGGTTCAAAGCCAGCCCAGGCAGGAAAGTCTGTGAGACTTTTTTTTTGGTCTGTCATGGGGCTTGAACTCAGTTTGGGCGCTGTCCCTATGCTCTTCAGCTCAAGGCAAGTGTGCTACTGCTTGAGCCACAGCACCACTTCTAGTTTTCTAGTGGTTTATTGGAGATAACAGTCTCATGGACTTTCCTGCCCGGGATGGCTTTGAACCCTGAGCCTCAGATCTCAGCCTCCTGAGTAGCTGGGATTACAGGCGTGAGACACCGGTGCCCGGCTTGTGAGACTCTTATCTCCAATAAGCCACCAGAAACCAGAAGTGGTGCTGTGGCACAAGTAGTAGAACGTTAGCCTTGTGCTGAAGAGCTGAGGGACAGCACCTAGGCCCAGAGTTCAAGCCCCACGACCAAAACAAACAAAAAAACAAATGAACAACAAAAAACCAAACCAAAGAATATATTGCAAATGATGTTCAGGAGGTGCATTGTACATAGGAGGTTACCTGCTTTTGTGATGTAATTCTTGTGCAATCCCTTATTTTCTTGGTGATTGCAGTGAGTTTTAGTGTTAAGCCTAAGTAGGCAGAGACATGCCAAATAAAGTCTCTTGCTACTCAATTCTGCCTCATTGGCAATTTGGAGCCTCCTTTAGCAGCTAAACATTTGGGGACATGAAGGTCAGCGTCAGGATTAGCACTAACCTACTCCTTAGAAGTAGTGTATGGTGCTTTGGCCTGTGAATGTTGTTCTATCCGTCTTATAGGAGAGACTCCATTGTAGGTCGCTGGACCATGTCACAAATGCTCAGGCAGTTTCGAAATCCAAGTGTGCAGATTATGTTTAAGCACATTACAATTTGGATGCCAAGTTTTCACGGGAAGAACTAACTCTATATTTATACTCCTATGGAACTGCTGGGCTCGAAAGCTGATTTGTATTCCAAACTGCCCTCAGAACTCTCTTCATAGTTGCATCCACATTGACAAGATGGCTCTTTTGGTTTGTTTGGTTCTCAAACAGGTTCCTACATAGGCTGAAACATTTCTGCTGCCTCAGCCTCCTGCATGCGGGGATTGGATTTTAGTTTTAGACTAAAATTAAAGTGTTCCTTTTAGTTCCTCAAAGAGCAGCATTTTGAGAGTACATGTCAGCAACATGATAGTGGTGTGAACATGGTGGAGTATTTGTTTTCTCTGTTGAGAGCAAAGAGAGACTCAGGATTGAGTGGTGAAGTGCTGGGGTTTGAGTGTGCTCAGCCTGGTGTGTGAAGACTGCTTATTTCACTGTGTATGCCCATACTGGGTCTTGAACTCAGGGCCTAGGTGCTGTCCCTGAGCTTTCTTGCTGAAGGCTAGCACTCATGTACTTGGGCCACAGCTTTACGTTCAGCTTTTTAGTGGATATATGGAAATAAGAGTTTCAGAGACTTTCCTGCCTGGACTGGCTTCAAACTGGGATCCTCAGATATCTCAGTTTCCTGAGTAGCTAGGATCAGAGGCTCGGCTCATGAGGGCTGCTCGCTCAGGGTTCTCATTCTCTTATTCCTTCAGCGGAGATTCTCCAGGCCAACGACCTCCTCACCCAGGGAGTTCTGCTGTACAAACAGGTGATGGAGGGCCGAGTCACCTTTGGGAACACAGTGACTAGCTCAGTGGGAGACATTCCTGTCTCTAGAGGTAATTGCCAGGAACTTCTCTGTCTTCTGCTTGGGAAAGAAGTGTATGTGTGTTGGGGGTGAGGGGGGTGGGGGGTGGGGGGTGGGAGGATATGGCACAGAAAAAGGTCCTGTCTCTGTCCCCTTTCCTCTCTTTCCTCTCCTGCACCACAAGAGCATCCACTTGCTCACTGCCTGGCTGGGCCCCCGCTGTGATCACACACACAGGCAGAGGCTGTGCCGGGCCCAGATTTGCATCTTCTCCTAAGTGCTCACTTACCAGAGCTACAAATCCCAGAAATAGTCTTTGGTGGCTCAACACTTGCCTAGCACAAGGCCCTAGCCTAGCACAAGGCCCTAGGGTTTATGCCAGTAATGCAATCAATAAAGAAATAAAAGGCAGCTGGGTGCTGGTGACTCATGCCTATAATCCTAGCGACTCAAGAGGCTGAGATCTGAGGATCATGGTTCAAAGTCAGCCCGGGGAAGGAAAGTCTGTGAAACTTTTTTTGGGCGGGGGGGGGGGCAGTCATGGGGCTTGAACTCTAGGCCAGGGCGCTGTCCCTCGGCTTCTTAGCTCTTCAAGTAGTAGGCTAGTGCTCTACCACTTGAGCCATAGTGCCACTTCTGGTTTTCTGGAGGTTTATTGGAGATAAGAGTTTCAGGGACTTTCCTTCATGGGCTGGCTTTGAACCACTATCCTCAGATCTCAGCCTCCTGAGTAGCTAGGATTAAAGGCGTGAGCCACCAGCTCATGCATGCAAGGCAAGCACTCTACCACTGAGCCACCTTCCCAGCCCTGGCGAGACTCTTATCTGTCCTGGGACAGAGCCTAGGCCTAGAGTTCAAGTCCCATGACTGACAAAAAAGAAAAAGAAAAGTCATTTACATTGCAATATTTCTGGACTGGGGCTGTTTGGCAGGCCAAGCATGATGGGTCACACTTATAATCAGGGGTAGGGAGATCATGGTCCTTAAGGCCACACCCAGGCAAAAGTTCAAGACCTCACTTGAAAAATAACTAAGCACAAAAAGGCTGTGGGCTGGGGCTGGGGAAGTGGCTCAGTGGTAGAGTGCTTGCCTTGCATGCATGAGGCCCTGGGTTTGATTCCTCAGCACCACATAAGCAGAAAAAGGCGGATGTGGTGCTGTGGCTCAAGTGGTAGAGCACTAGCCTTGAGCTGAAGAGCTGAGGGACAGCACCCAGGCCCAGAGTTCAGGCCCCATGACTGGCAAAAAATAAAAAAGGCTGTGGGCGTGGCTTTAGTGGTAAAATGCCTGCCTAGGAACTGTGAGGTCCTGAGTTGAAGCCCCAGAACTGCCAAGGTGGGAGTGGGGGGGAGATTGCTTGGAGCTTGGCCTAGCAGCCTGCATTGAGCTTGGTATGATATCTTTGTAGCCCCTACTAAGCTAGGCCTGGGATATGTGCAGGTGACCTGATCCTATCTGGTCACAAACCTCTAAAGGCCTTCAAGTTGAAGAAGAAACCTAATCTGCTGAGGCCTAGGCTCATGGGCCCCTGGGAGAACAATGTAGTCTTGGCCAGGAAGGCCATCCTCTGGTCCCAACTCTAGTCCTGGCTCTGTCCAGATGCTCCGCTGCAGTGGGAGGTGCTTGAGGGTTGAGGTCTGATGTCTTCAGATTCAGGGAACATTGCAGAATGCTGGTTGGATTTCAGCAGAGCCTGGACTCTCACCCCTGGCTGAGCCTTCTAACCTTGTCTGTCTTTATTTCTAGTGTTTCAGAATCCCACAGGCTGTAGCAAGAACTGCCCCCTGATCGACCTGGACATGCACAGTGCATCTGGGCAGGCTGGGCCTGTGACGCCATCTCTGCTTCATCAGGACCTGGCAGCCTTAGGTGAGACAGCCATTGAGGGTGAGCAGAGTGGTGCTGAGTAGAGAGTGGGGAGCAAAGCCGTGCTTTTGAGGGGTTCAATGTATATAGTTCAGAAAAGTCCCTTCAGGTTTGCGGGGTCTGGTGACTGTGCACACATTAGGTTTGTGTAGACTTTCTCCATGTCCAGGGAGGGCAGCTGTGCCATTGGTCTCGTGTCTGGTGGTTAGCGAGTGCCTCCCTCACTCTTGCTTCTCTCTTACAGGGATCAGTGATGCTCCTGTTCTGAGTAAGGTAAGGAAGGATGTGCTCTTACTAGCCCTGAGAGAGGGCAGGAAGGGTTTCCAATACACCTGCCCCAGGGGAGGGGTGTTGGCTGGATCCCAAGGGACCTTTAGGAACAGCCGGTGGGTTTGGTGGCCCAGAGCTCTTCTTCACCCAGTCTGCAGCAAACCTCTCCTGCCCCCTTCCTGAAGAAAGGGGGGCCTTCTTCGGAAGTCCTCTGCTCTGCCCTCTCTCTTCCGCTCCAGGCACCCATGAAACTAGGGCTTGTAGCACCTGTGTTGCTTCTCCCCCTTGCCTCATACAGGTTGCTGGTCAGAGTTGCTGCAAGGAAAAGAATCCCCAAGAAGGCGGCATGCAGAGCCCTTCTGGAGACAGGAACTTGCTGGATCTCCTCTCGCCACAGCTGTCTCCAGGGTCCCTGTGAGTCTGGGTATGGGAAGTGAAAGCGTCAGGCTTCGGCACGTGCTGTAGGGCCTGGGGTGGTGCTGGGAGCCAGCAGCCATGGATCAGCGTCCTCTTGCTATTCAGCCGCAGTGTGCCACTTCCCCATTTCCTGTTCTCCTTCCAGCCTAATGCTCTGGCTGGGGTGTCCTGAAGGAGTTCCATAAAGACTAGGGGAATAATATATAAATATAATATACAATATATATAGAAATATAACAGGAGGTCCTAAGGGCTAATCTGTAAAAACAATGTAGCACTTGTCTCTGCTTTGTGTGTGTTGTGTATAATATAGAAGTTAGTGCATTATTGTAGCTGGTAATTAGAAAGTGCGTTCCATCCAGCCTGTCTCTCTCTGTCTCTCTTTTCTTTTTGTCAGTTGTGGGGCCTGGGTGCTATCCCTTAGCTCTTCAGCTCAAGGGGAGCACTCCATCACTTGAGCCACAGCACCACTTCTGGTTTTCTGAGTGGTTTATTGTAGATAAGAGTCTCACAGACTTTCCTTCCCGGGCTGGTTTTGAACCGTGATCCTCAGATCTCAGCCTCCTGAGTAGCTAGGATGACAGGCGTGAGCCACTGGTGCCCGGCCAGCCTGTCTCTTTTCATATCATGGGTCATCTTTGGGCCTCCGTGTGCCCCATCCTTACTGGCTCCAAGTCATTGGCTGTGTGTAGTGGTCCGTCATTCCTTCCGTGTGTATCGAGTATGTATTTCCCTTCCTCACCTAGTTTTTCAGAGAGCCAAATCATGGATTCCTGGGATTCTTCGAAGGTTTGACTAGTCTTGAGTTTTGTTTTATTTGTATGTCTCTCTGTAGGAATTATGTGCCACAGAAAAGTATTCCAAAGGAAGTGCCACCAGGTACCAAGTCCTCCCCAGGCTGGTCGTGGGAGGCTGGCTCCCTGGCGTCTTCCCCAGCATCACAGAACACACCTCTAGCTCAGGTGTTTGTCCCTTTGGAGTCTGTGAAGCCCAGTAAGTATGGTTGTTTCTGCTTTTCTTCTTGCTGGTAGCCTCCTGGGCTTCCTCTTCATTGTAGGGAAGAGGGTTAGTCAGCTTGCCAGGGGCAGAGGATAAATGGAGACTTCCTTGTCTCTCTCTGTCTCTCTCTCACACGCACACACATTTATGTAGATATTTAATAGATAGAAATTATACATATCTATATGTCTATGTATGTATGTATATGTATTTTGTAAGTATTGGGGTTAGGACTCTGGTCTTGAGTTTTCAGGGTTGGTACTCTATCACTTGAACCATACAGCCAGACTTTTTTCCTTTCATTATTCAGATAGGTTCTTTGTTTTTTCTAAGGCCAATCTGGGCTGCAATCCTCCTATTCATGCTGCAAGCATAGCAAGGATAACAGGAATAGGTCCTGATTGAGCTGAGGCCTCATGAACTTGTTGCTTCAGTTCGCCTTGAACTCTGCGTAGAGTAGCTACAGTGACAGATGTGAGCCACTGGGCCCAGCTCTGATGAAGTGTGCTTAGGAACATGATGTTCACTCTTGGGGATTCAAGAAGGGATGTTTTAGGCTGGGAATGTGGCTCAGTGGTAGAGGGCTTGCCTTGCATGCACCACATAAGCAGAAAAAGCTGGAAGTGACATTGTGGCTCAAGTGGTAGAGTGCTAGCCTTGAGCTGAAGAGCTGAGGGACAGCGCCCAGGCCCAGAGTTCAGGCCCCATGACCAACAAAAACAAAAAGAAAGATGTTTTATGTGGCCAGCAAAGAAGAGGAGGAGCCAGACACATCTGTAATCCTGGAGGGCCCTGTAATTTCAGGAGGCTGAGATTGGAGGAGCACGATTCAAATCCAGCCCAGACAGGAAAGTCCTTGAGACTCTTAACTCTAATTAACCACTAAAAAGTCAGAAGTAAAGCTGTGGCTCAAGTGGTACAGTGCCAGCCTTGAGCAAAAAAGCTCAGAGATGGAGGCCCTGAGTTCAAACCCTATGACTGACAAAAAAAAGGAAGAGGGATTTGACATTCATAAAAGTGGGTATTAGGGGCTGGGAAGGTGGCTCAGTGGTAGATCGCTTGCCTTGCATGCATGAGGCCCTGGGTTTGATTTCTCAGCACCACATAAGCAAAAAGAAAAAAGCCAAAGTGGCGCTGTGGCTCAAGTGGTAGAGTGGTAGCCTTGAGCTGAAGAGCTGAGGGACAGCGCCCAGGCCCAGAGTTCAGGCCCCACGACCGGACCAAAAAAAAAAAAAAAAAGTGGGTATTACCTCTGCTCCAGAAGAACAGTGAAAGGCCCAGCCAGTGAGCCACTGGCACCTGGCTACCTTATACAGTTTGATAAGTGGCCTTTGGCTGGTAGATTTTTCCATATGGTTGGGCAATCATCTTTGTGCTATGTGTTGAGTCAGCCACTGATTTATCAAGTATTTATTCTCATGTTAAGTTCCATATTTGGGTTGATTTCTCATGCTCTGTGCATTTATTAGGGGGAGGGGCAGGACCAGTTATACGCCTGATCTTCCTACCTCAGACACTCAAGTAGCTTGGGATTACAGACATGCACAACCACACCTGCTGCATGCTCTGTTTTTATGTCACTTTATTTGAATTGCAATTTTATCTCCAAGCATTTGCTAATACAAATGTGCCTGTTCTTCTTTTGTTGGTTTCATTAAAGATTAGTATATTAGCTGGGCATCAGTGCCCTACACCTGTAATTTTAGCTACTCAGGAAGTTGAGATCTGAGGATCATGGTTCAAAGCCAGCCCAGGCAGGAAAGTCCATGAGATTCTTATCTCCAATTAAAGCACTCCCTCCCTCCAAGAAAAAAGCCAGAACTGGATTTGTGGCTCAAGTGGTAAAACACTAGCCTTGAGCAAAAGGGACAGTGTCCAGGCCCTGATTTCAAGCTTCAGGACCAGAAAATTTTAAAATTAAAAAAAAAATTAATGCTGGTGCTGGTGGCTCAAGCCTATAATCCTCGCTACTCAGGAGGCTGAGAGCCGAGCCGTTCAAAGCCAGCCCGGGCAGGAAAGTTCGTGAGACTCCAATAAACAACTAGAAAACCGGAAGTGGTGCTGTGGCTCAAGCGGTAGATATTTGCCTTAAGCTGAAGAGCACAGGGACAGTGCCCAAGCCCAGAGCTCAAGCCCCACGACCAACCAAAAAAAAAAAAAAATTAGTGTACATTCTAGAAAATAGGGGTTTTATTATAATATTTTTATTTAAATACCAGCTATTATTCTCCTCAAATTAATGTTATAGTCACTTCTTAGGTAAGTTAAAACATCTTTTAATATTTTCCATTGGAATTTCATTAAGCCTATTGATTTGAAACTTGCTTTACAGTTTGGGTTTTGTTGTTGTGGGGCTTGCTTGAACGCTGGGCTTGGGCGCTGTCCCTGAGCTCTTCAGCTTAAGGCTAGGCACCACTTCCAGTTTTCTGGTGGTTAATTGGAGATAAGAGTTTCACAGCCAGGGGCTGGGAAGGTGGCTCAGTGGTAGAGCGCTTGCCTTGAGATGAAGAGCTGACGGACAGCGCCCAGGCCCAGAATTCAGGCCCCACAACCGCCCCCCCCCCCAAAAAAAAAAGAGTTTCACAGCTGGGCGCTGGTGGCTCACGCCTGTAATCCTAGCTACTCAGGAGGCTGAGATCTGAGGATCATGGTTCAAAGCCAGCCCAGGCAGGAAAGACTGAGACTCTTATCTCCAATAAACCACCAGAAAACTGGAAGTGGTGCTGTAGCTTACATGGTCCCATGACCGACCAAAAAAGAAAAAAAAAAAGAAAAGAATTTCACAGACTTTCCTATCCAGGCTGGCTTTGAACAGCGTTCTCAGATCTCAACCTCCTGAGTAGCTAGGATTACAGGCCTGAGCCAGGAGTGCTCAGCTTCTTTACAATTTTATAAAAGTAAATATAAAGGTGGGTGTGAGTATGTGGAAGTAATATGAGAGAATAAAACAAGCCCATTTGTAAAGTCTTTTTTTTTTCCAGTTGTGGGGCTTGAACTCAGGGCCTAGGCACTGTCCCTGAGCTTCTTTTGCTCAAGGCTAGCAAGTAGCACTCTACCACTTGAGCCACAGTGCCACTTCCAGCTTTTTCTGTGTATGTGATACTCAGGAATTGAACCCAGGGCTTCATGCATGCTAGGCAAGCACTCTACCACTAAGCCACACTCCCAGCCAAAGGTTTTTTTTTTAAAATTCCTTTTAATATTCTCTATTTTCTAAAGTGTTTGTGCATTATTTTAACCATAATCTTACCTCTCTTCAAAAACTGTTGATGTTGGGGGCAGGTAGTTGGGAAGGCCTAGGACAACATAGTGCAGCCGAACCAACCCTTGTGTTTGGATCCTTGTCTCCAGGCAGCCTGCCCCCGGTTATCGTATATGACCGCAATGGCTTCCGCATTCTGCTGCACTTCTCCCAGACCGGAGCCCCGGGCCATCCGGAGGTGCAGGTCTTACTGCTGACTATGATGAGCACTGCCACGCAGCCTGTCTGGGACATCATGTTTCAGGTGGCTGTGCCCAAGGTGAGTCCTCTGCTGGCCAGCTCCTGTGGCGTTTCCAGTCATGCCCATCATCATTGGGAATGAGAATCTTCACACTAACTTGTGGAACGTCAGATGGGAATTGTAATTGTATTGGCTATTTGGCCTCAGCTGCGAGCGCATCCAGGCAGGGTTTTCAGTGGCTCTTGAGGCTCTTTCCATCTCTTGACTCCTTCTTGGCACTGATCTCATACTGTGTACACCTAGCAGGAAAGTGACTGCCAGCAGGTTCAGGCTTACATGGTCCTAAGCCCATTTCATCACTAAAACTTTAAGTCAGGTTGGTGGTACATGAACATGAGACAGGAGGATCAGAGGAGTTCAGGAGATTCCCCATAGTGTTACAGCCTATCTCTTTTTTCTATTTTTTGGTTAGTCGTGGGACTTGAACTCTGGGCCTGGGCGCTGTCCCTCAGCTCTTCAGCTCAAGGCGAGCACTCTAGCACTTGAGCAATAGCACCACTTCCAGTTTCCTGGTGGTTAATTCACAGACTTTGCTGCCTGGGTTGGCTTTGAACCACAATCCTGAGATCTCAGCTTCCTTAGTAGCTAGGATTGCAGGTGTGAGCCACTGGTGCCTGGCTGTGACAGCCTATCTGTCACCTGGCCTGAAGTGTGCATAAGGACCCCTCAGGCCAAGGCTGTGGTTGGCCTCGTTGATGGCACTTGTATACCTTGGACTTGGGTGTAGAAGGACTTGGCCAATGTGTCCACCCTTTTCAAAGGATGTCAGCCATACCACCATCACCTGAAGGGGTGTGTCACTTGAAGGGAAGAGATCCTAGAGGAAAGACATGCATTCTTTAATCCTTAATGGCAGTCTTTGGCAGTTATTAAATGTTTTATACAGAAGGTTCAGAAATTAAATGTTTCACTCAGGATCATAAGAGCTAGTAAGAGACAGAGCGACTTCAGCACACTGAGCTGCTGCTCTTCTCATGTGGCCTGTCAGGTGCCAGCTCTTGCCACTGGTTCAGATGTGTGAATGGAGGAAAGGCTGTTAGGACTCCTTTCCTCCCTCCCCTGGAAGGAACCACCATGGGGCTCCACCACTGGATGGCGCCCATGGCCCCCGAAATGCCTGATCTCCTCTGGGAGGTGGAGTCATGCTCCTGCCTACCCGAGCTGTCACTGAGGCAGGAGCTTGTGGGGGGGGTGGGTGTGGGGGTGAGGTATGTGGTGGATTATGTCTTCCCCTCTCCCCCGGCAGTCCATGCGGGTAAAGCTGCAGCCGGCCTCCAGCTCCAAGCTGCCTGCATTCAGCCCTTTGATGCCTCCAGCCGTGATCTCCCAGATGCTGCTGCTCGACAATCCACATAAAGTACGTGCTCGTGGCGGCCTTAGCCGGGGAAGGGCGACTGGCTCTAAGAGCTCACATGACTCCCATGCTGAGAATCGGACGGCTGTTGCTGGGGGCTGGTTGTCTTTGGGACTTACCAGAAGATATATGGTGGGTTATCATAGCTTCCAACTGAGGGAGAGACAGGAACGGCCTGACACCTGTCTTCCTAATGGGTCCCAGCCCTTCAGAACTGTAGACAGCCCCAAGGAGGCAAGGCCAGTATGCCTCTGTCCATGGACAGTTTTGAGAGCCTCCTCCCCTGGAATCTAACATCTTCCCTCCCTTCTGTTGCAGGAACCCATCCGGTTACGGTATAAACTCACCTTCAACCAGGGTGGACAGCCCTTCAGCGAAGTGGGAGAAGTGAGAGACTTTCCAGACCTGGCTGTCTTAGGCGCGGCCTAACTTTCCAGATGGGCCTTTGACTTCAACTTGGGCCACCGTTCTTTTCACTGTTGGGTCTCATCCCAGGGCTTTAGTGCAGAGTGCCAACTGTTCTCTCCTGATGTCAGGCTCTGAATGCCAGTCTCTGGCCTGTTCTGTAGACACTGTGTGTGTGTCTCTGTGTGCGTGTGCGTGTGTGTGTGCGTGTGTGTGTGTGTGTTTTGTAGGGGCAGCATGGGAGATGTGGAAGCATTTCACATGACCATTTGGGCTGACAGCTGTCTTGTCTCCGCATGTTGGTGGGCACTGCAGTCTCTGCCAAAGCTTTCTTCCTGGATTGTTACCTTCTCATCTACCCAATCTGTGCCTTGTCAGCCGTTGAAAGTCTTGGTTGCTCCCAGGCTGCTGTTCTCAGGGACCTTCTGAGGGACCTGGTTGGTCCTGGGGCAGAGGGGCCTCCAGGCACTCTCTTCCAAGGAAGACCTCGTCTCCATCATTTCAGTGTGCCACTTGCATGTGTTCGGAGTGATCTAGTTGGAATACTTGGCCTCTTGAGCTGTCTGCAGGCGGGAGGCTGCTTGCCAGACCAGAAACCACATTTGGTTGGTCAGTCCTGTCCTTCACCACTGTGCCTTAGTATTGCCCTTAGATGGAGCCTCTAGACAGAGGGCAAAGCTGACCCCAGGCCTTGCTCAGGCCTCTGGGCCCTGACTCAGGACCCCCATGTCCATCTTCACCCTCTTCTTTCACCAGCTCCCTTTGAGCTCTTTAATGTGAACCCCATTTAGTCATCGGAGACTCCAGCTGGCAGGTCAGCCCTGGCTTGGTGACCTCTCAATCCCAGATGGAGAGTTGAGGTATGCAGGTGACCAGAAGAGATTAGCAATGATGTAGGTGGTCACTGAACCAGAATGTCATTGAATAAATACCACGTAGCAAACTGGCCTCTTGGTGTCAAGTGGATGTGGTGCCAAGGCACTGAGAGGTGACAGGCCACAGCTGTCTTCTGGTGAGCAGTGATGAAAACTTGGAACTATCTCAGCCAGAGCAGAGCACTGAAGAGCCCTCTGAAGGAGCCCTGAAGAAAGCTGGAGAGGAGAGCTTTAGAATCTGAAGGGCAGACTCAGGCGTACCAATCTGATTATGCTCACACATACCTACTGTGTGCTGTGAACATGATGTTCATGTTTAACAAGTCCACTTAGTGCATCAGTGGGAGGAGGACGCTGAGTTGGGGAGGGGGGATGAGGAGTGGGGGAGGCTGGACAGGATTCTACCTCAAACTGCAAGGCTGTTTTGGAGTTCTTATTGATGAGATCCAATACTTTCATTCTGATCATTTACCTCTATATACAGCTGGAAATCTCACAGTCATGGGTGGGGGTGGGGGCTGTAAAGATAATCAAGGCATGCTGATTTTGAAGCCAGTGTGAAACGTTATAAAGCAGATAATGATTCGTGTAAGACTGAGTGTTCTTGTAGCTTCTCTCTGTAGCCATCACAGAATGCTAGTGTCACGGGTAGATGAAGAGAGACACTTTTCATCTTATAGTTCAAAGGTGAACGAGGGGTCACTCTGCCATTTGGAGTAGGGCAGCATAGGGCTGGGAGGGGGCAAAGGATGGTAGCCACTCTAGAAGTATTCTTGATTTATGTCAGCAGAGCTTTCTCATTACTAGATTCAGCAACTACATCAAGCCCAGTGCTGTCTCTTCATTCAGCCACAACCAGCTCCCTTGAGCCAGGTGCTGGTGGAGATTGCAGATAGAATTTTAAAAATTCATTTCGGTAAACATTATTCTGCATGATCAGAGGCACATAGGTGTTGGGCCTTTGTGTTCCTCTCCTGAGAGTATCCTGCTTTTAGTCTGTATGTTAATGTATAGAAAGCCTGTATAATTTATCATGTCCCAGTGTATTTTACATCTAGCTTCTCCATATGAGAGAACACATGCATCATTTGTCTCTCTGAGCTTGGCTTACCTCCCTTAACCTGATTTGTTCTAAGTCTATCCATTGCAGATACAATTCTGACCGAAGTCCCTGGATTCCTAAATGTTTATTCTTCAGAGAAAAGGGCTCATAGTACATTACCACACTGGCCTTTATGCTAATTTTTTTTTTTTTTTTGGTCAGTCGTGGGGCTTGAACTTCGGGCTTGGGCGCTGTCCCTGTGCTCTTCAGCTCAAGACGAGCACTCTACTGTTTGAGCCATAGCGCCACTTCTGGTTTTTTAGTTTGTTTTTTTTTAATTTTTTTTTGGGGGGGTAATCCTAGCTACCCAGGTAGGCTGAAATCTGAGGATTACAGTTTGAAGTCAGCCTAGGCAGAAAAAGGCTGGGAGATTCTTATCTCCACTTAACCACCTAAAAGCCAGAAGTGGAACTGTGGCTCACACCTGTAATCCTAGCTATTCAGGAGGCTGAGTTCTGAGGATCATGGTTTGAAGCCAGCCTGGGCAGGAAAAGTCTGTAAAACTCCATCTCCAATTAACCAGCAAAAAAAAACAGAAGTAGAAGTGTGATTCAATAGAGCCACTAGCCTTGAGTGTGAGAAAGCCAAGCAAGAGCATGAGGCCCTGAGATCAAGCCCCAGTACTGGCACAAAACAAAGAAGAAACAGTACAATGTGAAAGCAAGCCAGAACTAGTGTGGGCTTTACAAGTCACTAAAGACCTAGGCTATTAACACACACTAAGACACTCTACTCCTCACTGCCTGCTGAGTGATGCCTTCAGCTTCAGACGGTTGCATCTGTGTGTACCTTGTAAATCAAGAAGGAAGAGGATAAAGAAGGAGACAATGCTATCATTCCTATTACAAAGGCCTCCTGCAAGTCCCATGGGATGTTTACATTCATATCTTGTCCTGGTGAGCTGTATGGCCACACTTCTGCACTGGAGACCAAGAAAGTCTTAAATTTGTACACAATGCTATACTACCAAGTTAGGTTTGGTTACTAAGGAAGGAGTAGTAATTTAGTGGATTGCTCCGAGATAGGGCGATTTATTGGGGCACATGCTACTCTGAACTATTGCTGAATGAAATGCAGGTCATGTGTTTCCTCACCTGAGCCAAGTTCTTTTCTTTCCATCCATGCTTTTGTGGGGTTGAGGACTAGGGTGCCGACCCAGGGCTCACTTGTGCTATGGGAGTCTTCTACTCACTAAACTGAACCCTCACCAGTGGTTACAAGAACCTACATGGTTTATTGGTGCATACCTGTAATCCCAGCTATGCAGGTAGGAAGTCATAGTCTTGAGGTTGGTTCTGAAAAACAATGCCAAGACCCTGTCCACAAAATAACTAAAACAAAAAAGGGATGGAGTGTAAAGGCTCTGAGTTCATTTAAAGACTGGTTATAGCTCAGTGGTAGAATGCTTGAGTAGTATGCATGAAGCTCTGATCTCAATCCCTAACATCAAAAGTGAAAAAAAAAAAAAAGCTCTTCTAATGAAAAAAAAATGTAGTTAAAGGAGGCATAGAAGGACCAAAATTGAGGCCAGAGGCATGGCTCAGGTGATAGAGCACCTGTCTTGCAAGTGTAAAGCTCTGAGTTCAATCCCTAGAACTGCCAAAATAGAACAATGATATAAAGGAGGCAAAAAGGAAACAGTAAAACATCAAGTGTAAATCTGCAGATGTCAAAAATTGCCCCCAATCAAAGGCTAGAAGATGAAAAAAAAAAAGCTTGAAGTTTGACTGGAATAACAACATGAAGGTCTAAGTATATGTTACCTGCAACAGACATCCTTAGGTTTTCAAAGGTATTGGGACTAGGAGAAAGATAAAAGGTTGGAGGTGTGAGTGGGAACCATAACAAAGTTAAAAGGGTTGTATTAGTAGTGAGCAAAATTCACTAAGTCAAGCTGGAGTCCAGTGCCTCAAGCCTATAATCCTAGCTACCTAGGAGGCTGAGATTTGAGGATTGAGATACTTATCTCCAAGTAACCACCAGAAAACCAGAAGTGGACCTGTGGTTCAAAGTGACCGAGCTCTAGCTTTGAGCAAAAAAGCTCAGAGAGCCCCAGGCCAAGCTCCATGACTGACGAAAAAAAGCTGCTAATGGAGGTGTGGCTCAAGTAGTACAGCACCAGCCTTGCGTGGAAAAGGTCAAACCTCAGTACCTTCACCTAAAAATAAAAACATAAAATGCCTGTCAGGTAGTGGAAGAGGGGCATGTTTTAGAGGCCTCCATGATTCTGGCTCAATTTGTTCCCACTTAGCCTAGTATACTAGCTTTCCTGATCTGGACTCACCTATTTAGGTTTAGACTGCTCAACAATTACCGTGAACACAAGAATTGAAAAATAGTGACTCTCAATCACACAAAAAGGAACTGAAGGCTGGGAAGGTGGCTTAAGCGGTAGAGCGCTTGCCTTGCACGCATGAGGCCCTGGGTTCGATTCCTCAGCACCACATAAGCAAAAAGAAAAAAAGCCGGAAGTGGCGCTGTGGCTCAAGTGGTAGAGCGCTAGCCTTGAGCTGAAGAGCTGAGGGACAGCGCCCAGGCCCAGAGTTCAGGCCCCACGGGCCAAAAGAACTGAAAAGTTGCATTTCCCATCATAGAAGCCGCTAGGCCGTCCCTCCTTTCACATGATAGGTTTTAAGGCTCATTTTTTAAGCCATAGGAAACAGTAAGTGCAGGCGCGGTCTGAGGGGACAGCAACGTCCCGGAGCGACGCGAGCGCCACATGCCAGGTGTGGTCACCTCACCTGCCCTGCGCCGCCGCTTTCTACAGCGGTGACCTTCAACCCACTTCTTCTTGCCCCGTTGTGAGGAATAAAAGTGGCATCGAGACCGTAGTGGCCCTGTGATGACCTTACAGTAAGCGCACGGCTTACTGCTCAGCAAGCAGAAGAGCAATGGCCGTTTCTGCCCAGAGCTCCCAGTCCCGGCGTTTCCTACTCCTCCCCCTCATACCCACTGCGCAGGCGCAGCGTCGGCCGTCGCCGTGGTAACGGCCCTCCACTTCCGGGAGGGGGACGGCGCGCGGCGAGGGCCACGCCAGCAGGAATTTCCAAGTTCGGCCTTGGGCGGGCGTTCTCTGAGGCCGGCCCTGCCGTCTCGCGGTGCCGCCCGCCTCTGCGTCCCCGTGGCCACCCCCGGGGTAGCTCTCGAGGCCTCTCAGCCCGTCAGGCCCGGGCCGCGCCGCCATGGACTTCTCCAGGTTCCTGGCGGACGACTTCGACGTGAAGGACTGGATCAACGCGGCCTTCAGGGCCGGGCCCAAGGAGGCGGCCGCGGGGACGGCGGACGGCCACGCGGCCACGCTGGTCATGAAGCTGCAGCTGTTCATCCAGGAGGTGAACCACGCCGTGGAAGGTGAGCGGCGCGGGGGCCCGGCCCGGGGTGCGGGGGCTGGCCGGGGGGGGGCCCGGCCCGGGGCGCGGGGCTGGCGGGGGGTGCACGGCGCGGCCCCTCCCGCACTCGGCCGACCGCATCCCGGGGCGGCTCAGCTCCGTGTTGGCCAATGCCCGAGTTTCCTTTGAACATGTATTATGATCGTTACTGTTGTTGTTGTTGTGCTGGGTTGGCCCTCTAGCCCTAGAGCCACGCCCCCAACCTTTGACCCGTTTGCCGCTAACTTTTCATAGGCTCATGCCTGTCATGTGCCGCAGAGCGGGATCCCTAGCTTTTTAATTTTGGGGGGTGGGGGGTACATAGTAGAGTCCACCTAAGAAGTGTACAGCCCAGTCTGGAATTCACAATCATCTCCTGAGTGTTGGGATTACAACACTTAGTTTTCTTATAATAAGAGGTGGCTGCCAGTGTCCACCTGCTGTATTACATGATACCAGGCACGTAACATCCTGGCTCCTGGCTGGATCTTCTTCGTCTTCTTCCTTCCTTCTTTCTTTTTTTCTTTTCTTTTTCTTTTTTGCCTGCCCTGGGGCTTGAACTCAGGGACTGACCACTGTGTCTGGGCTTCTTTTTGCTCAAGGCTAGCACTCTACCACTTCAGCCACAGCACCACTTCTGGCTTTTTCTCTGTATGTGGTGCTGAGGCGTGGAACCCAGGGCTATGTCATGCATGCTAGGCAAGCACTCTACCACTGAGCCACATTCCCGGCCCAGTTGGATCTTTTTTTTTGGGGGGGAGGGGTCTGGTCGTGGGGCCTGAACTCTGGGCCTGGGCACTGTCCCTCAGCTCTTCAGCTCAAGGCTAGCACTCTACCACTTTTTTCTTTTTGCTTATGTGGTGCTGAGGAATTGAACCCAGGACCTCATGCATGCAAGGCAAGCGCTCTATACCACTGAGCCACCTTCCCAGCCCTGTTCTTAGCTTTTTGATCAAGGCTGGTGCTCTACCACTTGAGCCACATCCCCACTTCTAGCGTTTTTGTGGATAATTGGAGATAAAGAGTCTCACAGACTTTCCTTCCCAGGCTGGCTTTGAACCTCAATCCTCATATTGAGTAGCTAGGATTACAGATATGAGCCACCAACCCTCAGCTTACTTTGCTGTTCTTGATTTCTGAGACAGAAACGAGTCACCAGGCCCTTCAGAGCATGCCCAAAGTGCTCCGTGATGTCGAAGCCCTGAAACAGGAGGCGTCATTCCTGAAAGAACAAATGATTCTTGTCAAGGAGGACATTAAGAAATTTGAGCAGGATACGTCACAGTCAATGCAGGTTCTGGCTCTGTCTTGTCATGAAGGGTTAGAGCAGCACAATGTTTTGGGAGGCTGTGAAATCACTGGGTGGCTAGAATTTGGGGGGTAGAAGCTTTCTAGAGACAGAGGGTGCCATGGGTGCTTTGGTGTCAGGTCATTGGTGGGAGGGAGAGAAAGAGAAGGCACTTATTTATTTACTTAGTTATTTTGGTGCCAGTCCTGGCGCTTGAACTTGGGGCCTTAGCATTTTCACTCAGTGTTGGCCTTCTACCAGTTGAGGTATACCTCTACTTCTGGCTTTTTTGGTGGTTCTTTGGAGATAAGAGTCTTCATGAGCCGGGCGCCGGTGGCTCACGCCTGTAATCCTAGCTACTCAGGAGGCTGAGATCTGAGAATCGTGGTTCAAAGCCAGCCCGGGCAGGAAAGACCGTGAGACT